AATTGGCTATTCCTCCAAATACAAAATTGCAGCCATAGTATTGAAGGTCTAAGGATTTGTTGGGTTTTTTTTTCTTTGTTAGATCTGGCCATAAATGTACACTTTAGAAAATATACTAATCTTTCCATTGGAAATTAAAAGAAAAAACCAAAATATGCCTGTGCTTTTTTAATCTTCCACTCTTTTCTTTTGTACTTCAAATGGTACCTTCAGAGCATTTGGACACACACAGACATCAACAGTAATTGTTGAAAAATATATAGAAAGACATAATTTCAAATTTTCTTATATGAAAAAGTAAATATTTGCTATAGCTTTTTCAAGTCTCTAGAAAGAAAATTGACCTTGACCTAACAAAATGTCAAAAGTTTTGTGTAGTGGACATAAGTTTGGTTAAACGTAATGCCCTGATGTTTCTTTTAGTGACCTCCCATTTCAGAGTAGTTGGCTCCAAACATGAAATGTTGTGCGTTACATGAACTTAGTTTTTTTAATTTAAATTGCTTGGAGAAATTGCATCTTCCAGTATTACATTTTTTAATGAGTATTTTATTTTTCCCCTGTAGATCTGAAATGACATATTCTACAAATAACAGGGAAGAAAGATGTTGCCAAATTGTAGAATGCCTTATCTCTTTATTTTTACTAAGAAATACAGTTGGACCCTGCTGTTATTATGATGTGGTCACTTTACTGCTTGCCCATCTGATATTATGGCAGCAATGTCTTTTTTGATAAATACTTACTCCATCTGAATTGCCAAGCTGCTTGGCCTACCATAAACTAATTCTAGCAGTTGTCTTGACTTTGAAGTCATGTGGTGTCAACGAAAATAGATGTGTCTGTGGAGTGTGTCACGTATCCTTGTGGGATTAGTGTCCTTGTGTATTCCTGGCTTTCTTCTACGCTGTCTAATTCAGACATTTTGTTCCAGGATTAGAAACTTGCTCTGGCAAGCACATGCACACGTGTATGTTAGTGGATACACCTGTTGTACTGTCTCTCTGTGTTGGTTTGTGATTCAACCTCCTGGCTGCTGCCTCCTTTTTGTGTGCACTTTTCAATATTTTTGCCATCAGGAGGGGTTTGTTCTTTTGCTTCATGCTGAGTTTGAAAACATCTGTATCCATTCAAAAGGGCTGTGAGTCTGTAGAAAGTGGTTTGCTTGCAACAAGTATATAAGTTCTTTTGTGTTCTTAGGGAGAAAAAAAATTTAATAATATATTAGAACTTAATTTTTATAGTAGATAGAGAAGGGAGATGCTACTATGAGTGTAGTGGCAGCCCTTCCCACCACAGTTGTTTTAAAAGGCTTTTAGGCTGGTCTTGAGAATTAGTAGCCAGTTCTTCTGTCTGTTTTTCTGGGGTTTGTTCAGTGATGGTTTCAAGAGGGGTGTTTTTAGAGAGACAAGAAATACTTATATATTGAAGTGTTATGGATTTGAATCTATTGTAAAAGGGACAAAAATTTTATCAAAGGTTGAGAGAAGTGGGTGAGGCTGAATTTCCACAGTCATGGGTAAGTTTTCCTCTTGCTTGGTCAGGCATATTGCCTCAAAATGCCAAGATTAAAGAAAAGTTTCAAAATCTTTATGGCTTGCAGTTTCACAGCTCTGGTGTCAATGGTTTCCAGAAAGCAGTTTTAGTGGGTTAGGGAGTGAGGCAGAGCGTGGAAAATGGACTGTGCTGCAGGGACAGTGGCTGAACCTGAGTACAGACATCCCTGGGATCTTGGCCCCAAGTAACTGCTGTTATGATGAGTTTTTATTGGTGTGCTCTGGATTCCATCCTTGGCAGGATTCAATTTTTCTTGTTCTGAGAGGTAAATACATGATTCATAAACTCTGATTTGAAAAGTGTGTGAGGCAGGGCCGATGAAAGCCATTTACAAAGTTTTGAAGATAGTGCTTAGGGCTTAGATAAAAGAACGATTTGTGACACGTTAGCATGAAGTCTGTTGTTTTTAGGAGATGGTGTCTGTCTCATTGTCAAGTTTGGAAAGTTCATCATAGCCACGTGTTTATCTGCAGAGTTATAAAACATTAGCCAAGTTCCATCTGCTTCATAAGAGAAGGCTGTCAATTATATGTTTCAAGCACTGATAAAGAATGATGTATAGTATAAAATGTTACATGCTGGGAGACTTCTCAGTCCTAGAACACAGTTGTACAGTCCTATTTTTTATAGAGCTCCTTGACCAGCTTTCCTGATGGGAGTGTGTATCTTGTAAATACAGCAGCGGGAGAGAAGTTGCTTTATATAAACTAAATTACTATACTGTATTTAAAAGAATTAGATAATGTATTGTTTTTTAAAAGAGAAAAATCTCATTGCATCGAGGTTTTATACTAAAAATCTACCAGTCTGTGGAACAAGACCCTACTATGCAAGGCCAATGAAAAGAAGCAGAAGAGAGTGGAAAGAATAGCACTTCATGTGTGTGATTTGCATTCTCAAACAGGATTTTTTTTTAAATTATCCAAATCAGAGCATTGTAGATTTTTATATGAACTGTTTCAAGGCATTAGATTAGCAAAATGTCTAGTAGAAATAACACATTTAAAATAGAAATATTTGGAAGGCTTTTTTTCCCCCTTTTATTTCATATTGTTATCTCTACCTGCTCTTGTAGGTTCTCTAAAATATGTTTATATATTTCTCTGGGAAAGGTACTTTTTTCACAGAGGAATAAAAGTTGGGGAGAACCATCTCTGACAGCTTGCAGGTCAGTATTTCAGTCAGAAGAACAAACAGGATTGAAACTGCAGAACTCAGTGTCTTAACTTAATGAGCAATTTAGGGCAGGTTTGGAATGGAAATGCGAGTGATGACCTGGAATGGCTGTAAGATGGGGGTAGTTCTTTGTGCTGAGGGGGCAAGGAGCTGCAGCAGAGAGGGTCAGGATGGCAGACAGCAGCAGGAGGCATTTTGCCACAACTGTTTGGTCAACGTGAATCTGAATCAACAAACTCAATGGAAGTGGAAACGCAGCATTAGCAGATCACCAGAATGTTAGAGCATCTTCCCTATGGGAAAATATGTGTTGTCCATCTCCTGCACACCTACTCAGCCAAGTTTCTTGAAGATTATCTGTTTGAAGTGGTTTCTTGGGTCATAAAAAAAAACTCTCAAACATAAAATATTAAGTAGTAAATATAAAATGTAAGTAAAACATAGGTAAATTAGAGTTACCAGTATCAGATGCCATGATTTTGAATCGTTTGGCTCTCATTTTTAGGTTCCGTAGTTAATAGGTAAGTTTTGCGGGTTTTTTTCCCCCCATTGAGGCTGGGGTGGGGTGTGAAGAACTTCACCAAAAATTTAAGCAAGCTAAATGTTGGTTATGGATAAAGGAAATACTCATTAACGAAAGAAAGTCATAAATATCAGCAGCAGTGCAACAGCTATTTAATACTGGTACTTTCTTGATGGAGCTGTGGCCCACTGGGGAGAGTTTTCCTGAACAAGGACTGGACAACAGTGGAAGCAGACAAAAACAATTAATCATAGCTGCATAACATAGTACTACAAACGATGTATAAATTGTACTTTTGTGTCCCAGTTCAATAATTTTGAGTATTATATTTAGTTTTAAGGGGTCCGTAGGAGTCAGGGGAGGGACTAGAGCTGAAAAAATGTGTTGAAGAGATTAGTAATGTTTAAATTGAAGAAATAATCAGTATAAGAAAGTGTGGGAAAAGAACATAAATTGTATAAAGGTAAAATCAGGGAATCTTAGTTAACATGCAGAAGCAAGAAGAATATTCAGTAGAAGACAGGCAGTTAATTAAAATAGGATCTGAAATGCATCAGTAATTTTAAAAGCTAAAAGTTTATTGAATAGCTAAGATATTCAATAGTGAGAATATCAAAACTATCTCTTTCCAAAAGATCAGGATCCCGAGTCTGCCGATGGTTACGTATGGATGCATAGGAAAGGAGGAGAAGGTTAGACCACATAGATGGTGACTTTTCAAGCTTAAAGCAATGTGACATGCAGTTGAGCAGACACTGTTTCCATGTCTTTGTGTTTAATAGCGTTGTTCGGGGGTTTATTTTATCTGTATATTTTTGTCATCCCACTTACGCTTTTGGCTTTCATGTTGTGGTAACGAGTGTCACGGCTGTGATTATGGTTTATGTGATGCAGTCTAGCTCTTCCATTTATTTATTATAAACCTGCTGCCTGATTTCATAATTTCATTGATTTCATTAACAAGAATACCCAGTTACATTAAGAAAAACAACTTTTTAAAGAGAGAGCCAGTCATGACACTAGGCTGCCTCTCCAAGCAAGGCTTTCTCTAATTATTCACTGGTGAGTGTCTTGTTCCCTGTAGGAGATACAGTATTTACTGCTTGACTACTGTCTGGTATAATAGCTTCTGTGGACAGCCAGTACGTTTCATCTTGGCCATGATTGATGTGTCCTTATGGTGAATAAAGTTGATTCCTGGATATTTCAAATACGGAGATAATACTTGGAATGAAACACTTTGCCCACTGAATGCACAGCATTGCACACACTTTTGTGTAAATGCTAGTGCACAGCTTTTAAGGTGCATATCTTGGGACTAAGCCCTACCTCTCTAGAGCCCAGTGGTAGAATGCTTTTTGTCAAAACCCGCCTTCTGTCCCCAGACTTACACTCATGTAGTAACAAGGCAAATGCTGTGTTATCTTGCTTTGTAGGCAAAAGTTGGATGTGTGCTTGCTGGCCCTCGCCTTAGTTAATGTGTTTACGTGCTGTAATGACCGCAGAACAGGTTGGTTTCTGAGGCCCAGAATATTAGCAGATCTCTCACTAACTTATAGGTGTAATGAAAGCAAAATCAGAGACTTTCTGTAAAAATCACAGGATGTTCTTTTTAATTAAAAATAGGAAACAGTTCCTGCTTGCTGGGCTTTGTGTTCCAAATGTGATCATGTAAAGCAAGGTTTTGCAGTGTGTACTGAGTATCTTAATCTTTACTCCTTTGTTGTTTTTTTTTTTCCCCTAGGAAAAGCTCTGCCTACCACATCACATCCTGGAAGAAAAGGGCTTGGTAAAAGTGAGCATAACAGTTCAAGCATTGCTAGATGTAACCACAGTGAAACAAGCTTTATTCACATGAAACTACTCTCTGCTGTTACCAGCTCCACTGTGCCATGAAAGAATCAAAAAACTGCCCGTCTGTTCAAACTGCATTGAAAAAAAACCCCCAGTACTCCAAGAGTATTCTTACACTTTTCATTTTAAAACTGTGTTTCAGACTGTACATACGTGTCAAACTACAGAGCAGAAACTAAACAGAAACACTTTCTAGAGGAAGTTGGCACTTCACTGCTTTTACAGCTCACTTTGTACAGTACTTTACTAAAACAACCACCTCTCTGCCACTTAAAAATGTGTGGAGCACACAGCTGTCTTGCAGCAAGATACCTTGGTATTATTAAACTAAGAATTGCTGTAATCATTTGGGGGGAGGGAGAAGGGAGAGTAAATCAGACTGGCTACCACGTTAGGTTTTTCTGCAGTTGTGTCAGGCTATTGCCTTTTAAAAATATCCAGACATAAAATATTTATATAAATATTATTTATTAGTGAGTTGTTATTCATCCTTTGGATGCAGAATGTAAATTAGGAAACTGTATTTTATTACTGCTTTTTTTGTGGTTAAACACTTTATTTTAATATAAATAGTTATTTTTTATTCTACTTGGTGTGCAGTAGCTCTAGATCTTCAAAAATTGTATTTTCTAACATGCAAGATAAAAAAAGCAAACAAAATAGGTGCTTTTATTAAAAGAAGAGCTAGCTGGAATGGAATTCTTTATTTCTTGATCTGTGGAACATTGGTAAAAAATTGTCTGCATTCCATTGAGTTTCCTACATTCCAGTAGCACTTCTCCCCTCACTCCACTAAATCGGCTGAAACTGAGAGCACACCCATTTTATTTGTATATAGATGTTTAAAAACAAAAACGAAAAAAGGAAATATGTAAACTTGAACAATAAATGTGAACAAATATTTTTGATTGCTTATTTTACTATGCACAAGACATTTAACTTTTGCCACAACAAACTGAATGATATGCATTAGGATCACGTGTCTTGAAATAAAATTTTGCACTGTAACTTGATTTCTTTTAAGGACTACGGCACTACAGAACGAATACAAAAACATAGCACAAGACCATTAGCAAGATTCACCAGATAGCCAAAAAATTAATTTGTTTTCTTCAGTGATTCCTTCAAGAGGAGATAAAATTACTAAAATTGCCAAAGGCAGTCTCAAAGATGGGATCTTCTAGACCTTACCCGCTGCTGGGTACAGTGCTTCTCCTTAAGAGTCTCCGCAGAATTAAGCACAATGTTCTGTAGTCCATGTTTGCAGGATCAGACCTCTAATCCCATGTCAGCAATAGGAAATAAGGAAGGTTCTTCTCCTTTTTACCACTTCATGGTTTTTGAAGAGATTTTTAAAAGCATAATTTATTATTAAGACATCACGCATTTTAGATCAAAAAGGTCCAGCACAGCGATTCTCACACTATCTGGAACATCCATTTTTCATTCATACGAGAGGCCAGTGATGGGACCTGGGCAAGCAGGATGGGGAAGCTGCACGTGGTGAAAGGCAAGCAGGCAGGGGACACACAGGCAGGTAGTTGGAAATGCAGAGTGGCAAAAAAAGAGGCAATGTGGTGGGAGGATTAAACATTTAAGCAAGAGCATGTGGAGAGAACTATCACATAAAAACTTTTGGGAAGAATGATACACACTTGTCACTACCACCTATCCAGGCAGTTTCACACCCATTCACAAACACTGCATTCAAACCCACCACTGTTCCAGTGGCAGATTTTTAATGGCTCACACGGTATTTGAACACAGACCATGCGCTTTGATACCACAAATTGCTGCCGTGCTGGTGTGTAGTGACAGCAAAGTGTTAGGAGGAGGAAAGTGGGCTCGCAGACAATGAGGCATCCAGTATGCGTGGAATATCCAGTTACTTCAACCAAAGCAAAAGCATTAATTTTATAGAGGGAACATCGACTTAAATTGTAATTTTGATTGGCAGCTAGCTTATTGTTTCCTTTAAAATGTACTGTGCACTTTAACACTAAATGAAAATGTATTTTAATATTTTACAGAGCTGCACAAATATCTGTTTTGTCAAAAGCAAGAGCAATGTAAAGAAAATTAAGTTTTCAAGTCAGAGTTTATCAAATCTTAAAAGCATTCAAGGATTGAGTATAAAAATAGGAATATTGATTTCTGCATCTTGAGGGATAAAATGCAGGTTTCCTGAGTATTTTTTTACAATGTATATATGTCAACATGAAGCTTTGTAATTATTATTTTGACAAATCTTGTTTTTTCATAATTAAAATTTTGGTTTTTTTCTTCTGATAGTGTCTTTCAGTATTTGCTTGAAGTTGGCTGTAAATAAATAGCTCTAAATATTTTGTAATACAGCTTTTTTTATGCAGTCTTAACCTGTATGGCTAAAAAGAGAACCTTCATGAACCTTTGTACAATATTTATATGTGCAATAAAACATGCATGGCAAATCTATAATATCCTACGCAGTGAACATAATGTATATAGAAAATCTTTACTGTAGTTACAATTAAACTATATTATTTGCAGAAAGCCTTTAGTGACTATCCCTGTGATTGATGGTTTCTTGTGAGAGATGGTGTTTGGAGAGCTTAACACTGGGAATGATGGGTTGGGGATGGAAAATAAATGAATTTTGCAGCTAAACTAGGAAGAGGATCAAGCTGGTAACTGCTGGGTAACTGCAGATGTGGTTCCTGCACCTTTGCTACTCGCATTGTTAATGTCTCCTGCCAGTCCTTTAGTGACAGTAAATTATCTGCCCTCTGCTTCTAGGGCTGGGTGGGCTCAGGGGGACTCCTCCTTCCGTTTGTTCCTGCTCACGTTGATGTATAAGAGTCGTTCATTTTACTGCTTCCACTTCTCTGCACAGGGCAGTTTTTTGTCCTCCTTCCCCTCCTCCTGAAATGCAGAGATTGTTCTGCAGACTTCTGCTTTAAGCAAATAAAATGTGGCAATTCCATTATTCTGCTGAATCCGAGCAATAGTGCAGTAACAGCTTCAGACCTGGGGATGACCCAGTGCACCAGGGCTGTGCTGAGCTGCTCTGTGCTGCCCCTGTCTGCAGAAACAAGTAGTGGGTATTGCTGCTTGTAGGTAGGACACACAGACAGCTTTCTCTCTCCCATGCGGGTTTCTGAAGTCTCCCAAGTACAGATTGTGCTGCGTTCTCATTTCTCTAATGAAGTATCTTTCCCTTAACCAGGTCACTTCATGGCTGTATTTTTTCACATTTGGTAGTGGATTTGGGAAGGAGAGACTCTTTCTGCAATAATCTCCTTTTGGAGAATTCTTGCAATGCATACAGTTGCATATTCCCAGCCTTAGAGCTCACCTCACAAATAAGTAGTTGCAACACTGATAAAATACATAATTTAGGGCTGTCACCAGCACAGAAATGTAAGTTCCCAGCATCAGACTCCCTGTAGTCCAGAATCTAGCAGGGGCCAGAGACACAGAAGAACATTCAGCACTGCTTAAAAAAGGCAACTGATCCTACATCTATCCTACTATTTCCTCTGGCAAGAGTGAGTCAAGGTTTGAGCGATGATTCAGGTCCTACTGAACAATGAGAAAGCAGAGGTTACAAGTGATTACTTGGACATCATAAACAGCGCACTGGAACAATCTGTGTTCTAGTCCAAGGTAGCTGGCAGAATTATACCACTGGGAACTATTTTAGATCTACAACTGTCAGGCCTAAATTCTGCCATCTTTTGTACAATAAGCACACTCAACTTTCAACAATGAGGTATTAGATTTAACGGGACCGAGAGGGAACTACTAAATAGATCTGAAAAAAGCAATTCCTGTCTAGATGATCTAAGAAACACAGCATAAGCCTTTCCCACTCTGCAATAATCAAAGGAATGGAGAAAATAACCCTCTTTTACTACAGGCTGCTGCTTTCACGTGTTTTTTTAAGAGGTCTTTTAAGTATCATCCATAATACTCCAGATCATCTGTTTGATGTTAATAATGCACAGGACAGTAAACCACTGTGCACAGAAAGCTTCTATCTGTATTCTCCCCCAGACTTTGTCCTTGGAATGTATTTAGACAGGCCAAGGAGAAATACGCCTATCACTTCAGATTAATTAAGTAGCTTGATTAATTGTGCCACTAATGACTTCCTCTACCATTAAGGGATGAGGTGAACCCCAGTAATTAATTAGCTGAAGGGACACCCTGTAATTATTCATAGCCTGCACAGTTGCACCAGAAACTGTCTTGAGGTCCCAGCTACATACCCACACTCACAGCCTGAGACTGACTCATCTGATAAACTACATTTTCACCCAGAATGAAGCATGCACCTTCATGGTGTTCAGAGAGTTTTCCAAGCCTGGAGGAACATTCCAAATACTTACTCTAAAGCACACACATCAAATTAAGTGGGACTTTTATTTTTCTTAGCAGTACAATCAGAAGAGTTCTGTTTTACAAACATTACTTCAGCAAATGATTTTTGTTTAGTTCACCTCTATCTCTTGATTCATGTTGGACAGGCAGCACTCACATCCAAGTGGTTCAGGCACTGAGGAATTTTGCATGGTGTTTGATGTGATCATTAATAAATGTAGCAATGAAAAAATAGCTGTGATCGTAACCCTGGAAAAGAACAACAACAAAGAAATCAGCAAACAGTATAAGGTTTGTAATAAAGAAATCATGCTAAGATCTGTTATAGGAAAGGTAGTGGCTCTCCTGGTTTGAAGCATTTTAAGAAATACCTGGATTATATCTAAAAATGGTAAAGAATATCCAACAGGTTAGGTATATATGAACACTAGGAAGCTAAACAAACAGAAAGTACCTTAACCTGCCCAAATCTGGGCCATTAGGCTAGAGAGGGGTAACAGCAAGTGTCTGGCACTGTCCTACTGGAAAAACACAGGGCATAAGGAAAACACAACCCGGGTCTGAATTACCACTCCATCCACACTGCTAAAATGATGTCAACCTCTGAACTACTCCCCTTCATCAGCACTAACTGTAGGTGCAGGGTTTATGATAAATAAGAGAGGACAATCCCTCTCCAGACCTGGGCCCCTCACTGGGTATGGTTGGAAGTTGTCAGTGGCTTACAAAGATTCCATTGCTCTCAGGACAGTGTTGTTCTGGGTCACTGCACTATAGGAAAAAGCAATCCTTCCATCTAGGTCCTTAAGTGATTTTAAGATTTTAAGCAGTTCCACTCCTTTCCTGATTTACACAGACACATGCAAACTAAATCATCACGAAGCTTTATGTTGAGCACAATACCGACAGCACAGAAAAGGGATCCCGCAAAAGGCCATCTGTCACTTTGCTTGTACAGTGACTGTGATACTTAATATAAAAGATTAATGCTGTGTCTTCAGCCAAGCACTGGCAACTCGAGTCACCAGCAAGGGATTAGCCTGTCCAAACTGGAATTGTGACGGCACCTAGTGGTGAAGTGCAGCTGAATCCGGTGGGTACTGCATCCCTTGATGGCCAGTACAACAGAAAGTGTCACTTCCCACCCTCTTCCTCACTTGGCCAGGGACAAGCGTGAGAGCATGTCCCGTTAACAAGACACTCTCTTCATTGCCTGCTGCATAGATCCCAAAAATCACAAAGCAGAACCCAATGCTCAAGGGCTGCAGAAGCAACTTGCCTGCTGCAGTCTGAAGACAACTGGGATCTTCTGCTCTGTGCAGGCAGCGATGAAATTATCAGGCAGTAACTGGCCCGCAGATAGGAACTGGTCATCTTTGCCCTGATCAATCAAGATGTCGAGGCGAGGGCCTGAGTAGGCCTTCACAAGCTGTGTAGCATCATATGCCTGCAAAAATAAAAGAGAAGCAACATCCAGTTAACGTATGTGCGACTGGGTCCACTTTGCTGACTGCAAGAAAAGAACGGCATGGAGAGGGTACTGGGCAGCGCTGATCAGGACACCAAGTTACACTTTGGAAGAGCAAAAAACTAGGGAAATTCCAAGCAATTGAAAATTAATACACTACCCTTTAAAAAGGGCAAATTGTATGATCTACTTAATTTCCAAGTTGGCAGTTTGACGGAACAGAATCCAGCCCAGCAGAATCAGAAAACAGCAGTGTAATCAGTACTGATTCACACCCTTGTTCAGACCCTGGATCCTGCTAAAGAAACTTGGTATCTTGATGTAACTGCTTTGGCAGTACACATCATAAATTAAGGACTCTCAACATACATGTATCAAAATGGAATTGTGCATGGGGAACATGTTTCCTGTGAGGTCCTGTGCTTTGTACATGCTAAAAATAAAAAATTCCTTTAAAAAGGCAGCAAGTGTTTAAGGCTGTGGAGAAGACTGGTCACCAACAAACAGCAAAAGCCTAAGTCCTGCACTAAGGCATCAGAGCCATCCTTTCAGGATGCTATCAGATCCAAAAAAGACACTACAATGGAAATGGGAGCTGGGGCTCAGCCAAGCATTGTGGCCATGGCATAAAATGATCCTGCACATATTTACGTGGCAATTTTAAGCCAAAATACAGAGATCAGAGGCTGTATGTCTGTGCCAAAGGCAAGTCCAAATTTGTTTCTGATGACTGTTGTTGATCCAGTGGACTGGGTTTACAGAAGAATTCCCCAGCAAGTTAAGAGGACAGAAAACAGGTTTTGTTTTGGGATTTGTTCTGTTTTGTTTTGTTTCACAGCAAATACATTACATTAAGTCTAATCAAGTTTAACTGGTGATTTCTAAGTATACAAACTAATAGCAATTATAAAAGCAGCTAGCACTCTCCTTTTCTGTAGTGTTTTAATCAGGCCTAATCAGGATGTCTTTCTAGCAGGTACTTTAATCAAATTTCCAAGGAATTTAACTGCAGTTTGTGCTTATTTACAAGGAAATCTGAGTACCTGGTCACAATGATCCCTTTGACTTAGTTCTAGAAATACAGTGCAATATATAAGTTGAGATTACGAACACTGAACAGCTGCCCAAATAATGCAGCAGCATGCAGACAAACAGTTTTGTATCTCAGCCATTCATATATGACTGCTTATATCTCAAAATTAAGGCCTGGGAGCTAAAACCTAACTTTGTCTCGTTTAATCCTGTTCTACAGAATATGAATTTCCAAGTACCCAGTAGGCTCCTTTTACAGCTGCCTCCCACAGGCTTCTTCTGCAGATGCCATGAGGCTCATCAGTCTCTGAACAGTTTGCAGCAGGCTCTTTTCAGGCTACTACAAAAATCAACTGATCATAAATCGAAACTCACAATTCTTCCTAGCACAGATTTTTAAGTCTTCGTAAACCAGAGAGGAATGTAGTCAATTTGATGAGAGATCTCTCATTACATTTTTATAAGCACCATCAGGCAAGAGCAAATCACACTCACCAGAAATATACAATGCTTTTCCACACTTAGGGGTGCAGCAAAACAACAGCACCAGCTCAAGGGAACCCCAGAGTTTCATTCCAGACTCCTGCTGTGATATATTTACAGATCACTCGTTCATGTGTTATTAAAGAACTGCGGTTGCAACACATACCTCCCATTTGCTTGTATCTGGTCCCAGATATCCACCAAGGGCCTTCTTCCCCCACTGACACTGAATTGGGTTGCAGATAGGAGCAAATGCTGACACAGACTGCACAGAAAGAAAGCATGAAAAAAATACTATGTAACAATGAACTCCTGCAACTGAAACTATTGATACATTTAATGATGTAAGGGAACTCAGAATTATAGTGTCTTCTGTCAGATCTTCAGAAATCAATATAAGCATTAGTATACCTTATATAAGCTATACTGAATCTTACTTTGTACTTTCCAGGATTCTTCAGAGCAAGAATAAGAGCTCCATGACCTCCCATGGAATGGCCAAAAA